TTTGTTTTATTACACATATATGGTTTTGCTCATAAAATTTTGTTTAATATAGTATTCCTGTTATGTTTTGATATCTGCTCTTATTTCTAAATAAATTTCTACCCTATTTTAACATATGTGTTTGAATATTGGTAAATGATAGATGACATGACATGTATATATATATGTTTCTGTGTATGTATGTGTCCATATATATATGTTTGGGGATTCAGGTATTCATGCATGGATATACACAAGAAATACATACAGACAAAGCTGCTTAAACTAAATCCCCAACATACTACCAGCTGGAAGTGTTGCAGCTCTTTGAGCAGGTTGGCATTTCTGCTACCAATGAAGTATTATCTATGTTGCCTGGAGGTATGACATCTATACTTATTCAGATTTTAAAACCATTTTTGCATCTTATGAGGTTAAAATACTTTGTAAATTATTGAAGTTTTAGGTCACATCAATAACAACTTTTTAGTTTTGTTTTGTTTTGAGATAGGACCTTGGTCTGTTATGGAGGCTGGAGTGCAGTGGAGTGATCACGGCTCACTGCAGCTTTGACCTCCCAGGCTTGAGAGATCCTCTCACCTCAGCATCCTGAGTAGCTGGTTATGTTGGCTAATTTATTATTATTTTTAAGAAGTTTTTTTTGTAGAAATGGGGGTCTCACTATGTTTCTCAGGCTGATCTCAAGTGATCCTCATAACTCGGCCTTTCAAAGTGCTGGGATTACAGACGTGAGCCACCATGAAATGTGTTTTTCCTTGTTTGTGTTTATTTTTCCCTGTCAACTGAAAGTCAGCTTATGGTATGGTAAATACATAGGTTTCTATTCTGTTCCCTTGGTCAGTGTATCTGTTTATATGCTGTGTCATGCTGCTTTGATTAATAGAGCGTTGTAACATATTTTGGGTTCTTTTCTTGGTTTCTCATTAAACTTTGTTTTAATGGTTCTTAAAATGCTGTGACAGATTTTTATTCAAGTTGTTTTAATTAAATAGTATTGGTTTTTAAACCCAGTAACTGAAAACTGCCATATACAAAAAAGAAAAAAAAAATCAACAACAAACAACACTCCCCCTACCAGTGGCCCATAAGACACTCTACTTTCCTTCTAAAGTTTTATGATGCATTATTTTCATTAATGATTCTTTTATTATTAAACTTAAATGGCCAATTGAAACAAACAGTTCTGAGACTATTCTTCCACCACTGATTAAAACTGGGGTAGCAAATATTAAGGATAACATTCATTTAGCCTTCTGAGATTTTGGGGAAGAATTGGTGACCTTGCTAGCTCCAGCAGCCCTCTTGTCCACTGCTTTGATGATACACATAGCAACTGTCTGTCTCATATCATGAACAGCAAAATGACCCAGAGGATAGCTAGAGAAAGTCCACATTCACAGGGGCTTGTCAGCAACCTTATCAAGAATGGCAGCATTGCCACACTTCAATATATATAAGTTCATGTCATCAGTGAATAGAGACAGTTTCACTTCTTTCCTTCTAGTTTAGATGAGATGTATTTGCTTTTTACTTGACTGCTCTGGCTATCACATCCAGTACTGTAGTGAATAAGAGGTGTGAGAGTAGACATCCTTGTCTCATTCCTGATCTTAGGGGAAAAGCTTCTGAGTATAATGTGGCTGCAAGTTGGTAATATATATGGCTTTTATTGTGTTGAGTTACACACCTAATTTGTGGAGATCTTTATTATAAAAAGATGTGGAATATTGTCGAAGCCTGTCTGCATCTATTGAGCTGATCATATGGTTTTGTCCTTCATTCTGTTAATGTTATATATAACATATATTCGTGTGTATATATTAAACCATTCTTGCATCCCAGGGATAAATCTCGATTGATCATGGCAAATGATTCTTTTAATGTGCTGTCTTTTAGTCTGCTAGCATTTGGTTGACAGTTTGCATCCATGTTTATCAGGAGTATTGGCCTGTATTTTCTTTCCTTGTGATATTCTTATCTGGCTTGGATATTAGGGTAATTCTAGACTTAAAAAATAAGTTTGGAAGTATTCTGTCTTCTTTAACTTTTTGGAAGGGGTTGACAAGGGATTGGCATTAGTTTTTCTTAAATTATGTGGTAGAATTCACCAAGAAGCCATCAAATCTTGTGATTTGCTATGATGAAAGACTTTTTTGTTTTTGAGACAGGGTCTTGCTCTGTCACCCACACTGGAGTGAAGTGGTGAGATCACTCCTCACCACAACCTTGATGATGGGAGAGTTTTATTACTGATTCAGTTTGCTTACTCATAATTTGGTTTGTTCATTTTTTATTTCTTCATGATCATCTTTGATAGGTTTTATATTTCTATAAATTTGTTCATTTCTTCTATGTTACCTCATTGTTTGGTATAAAATTTGTTGGTTTGTAATAGTTTGATAATCTTTGTACCTTTGTGATATCAGCTGTAATATCTCCTCTCTTGTTTCTGATTTGATTTGAGTCTTTAATTTTTTTCTTAGTGTAAAGATTTATCAATTTTTCTTATTTTTCAGTAAGTTAAATCTCAGTTTTGTTAATCTTTTAAAATGTTTTTGTAGTCCTACTTTATTTCTCTTCTGATCTTTCTGCTCTTCTTTCTGCTAACTTTTGGCTTATATTGTTCTTACTTTTCTAATTTATTGAGGTATAACAGTAGGTTCTTATTTGAGATCTTCCTTCTTTTATGATGTAGGTTATCCTTCCTTACACATGATCTAACAATTCCAGTTCTGGGTATTTATCCAAGGAAATTGAAATCAGCATGTAGAAGAATTATCTGCACTTCCATGTTCACTGCAATCATTATTCACAATAGCTAAGATATAAAATCAACTTAAATGTCCATTAACAAATAAAGGAGTACAGAAAATGTGGTATATCTACACAAGGAAATACTATTAAGCCTTTAACAAAAGGAACTTCTGGCATTTATGACAGCATAAATAAACCTACTAGCTATTATATTAAAAGAAAGAAGTTAGGTACAAAAAGACATACTGCATATATTCACTTATATGTGCAAATATTAAAAATTGAACCTATCAAAGCAGAGAATATAATTGGCTTGCGGTAGGAGCATATAAGCAATGGGCAGACATTGGTCAAGGGCACAAAGTATTTATTTAGATAAGAGAAATAAGTGTAAGTAATAAATTTTATAGTATGATAACTGTTGTTAATAATGATGTATACTTTAAAATTGCTAAAAGTAGATTTTAAATGTTCTCATAAAAAGAGTAAGTATGGGCCGGGCGCGGTGGCTCAAGCCTGTAATCCCAGCACTTTGGGAGGCCGAGACGGGCGGATCACGAGGTCAGGAGATCGAGACCATCCTGGCTAACACAGTGAAACCCCGTCTCTACTAAAAATACAAAAACTTAGCCGAGCGAGGTGGCAGGTGCCTGTAGTCCCAGCTACTCGGGAGGCTGAGGCAGGAGAATGGCGTGAACCCGGGAGGCGGAGCTTGCAGTGAGCTGAGATCCGGCCACTGCACTCCAGCCTGGGTGACAGAGCGAGACTCTGTCTCAAAAAAAAAAAAAAAAAAAAAAAAGAGTAAGTATGTGAGGTGATGGATATGTTAATAAGCTTAATTTTTCTACAACATGCACATATATGAAAGCATCATTTTATACTCCATTAATATGTATATTTATTTTTAACTTGTCAAGTAAGAAAAGTTTTATAGATCTACTGCACAATAGTGTGAATACAGTTAACACTAGTGAACTGTACACTTAGAAATTAGTAAAATGTTAAATTTTTGTTTCCCACAATTAAAAATACTACAAAGAATTTAATTTTTCGTTAACCATTCAGTAAGTGAAAACTTTCCTCTATTGGACTAGAAAGTTGGAAGTATTTCTATGAAGTACTTTTAGGTCCAGTAATCTTTAAATCCTGGCACACAGGATTCTGCCGAGGTAGTTTAAACAGGGTTCAGTACAATGAAACAGTAAGGTGGTCGCAGATAGTTATAGTATGATAGGAGAAAATAATCCTACATGTGCACACTAGCCATATCGGTTGCTTTTTTTTTCTTGGTTTATTATTTTTTCTTACTCTTTTTTTTTTTTTAACTAGCAGCAGGCTTTTGATCACTTTGGCATATTAGATTTGTGGATAGTATTCATTTTAAAATGTATAATGTGGGAAAAATGTATAAACATTAATACTTTTCAGTATGTTGTTTTATAAATATGAAAATTGAGGCTGCCAGTTAAAGTCATATAGTTAGTGGTTGATATTGTGGTAAAGCCACATTCTTTATTTCCCCCAACTTTAGACCTCCTATTTTTATCTGACACTTAGAAGCAAATTACTTTGTGTGACAATATTACACATGTACACTGTGAAAGTTGTCAGATTAAAAATGTATAATCCCAGCACTTTGGGAGGCCCAGACGGGCGGATCACAAGGTCAGGAGATTCAGACCATCTTGGCTAACACAGTGAAACCCCGTCTCTACTAAAAAAAATACAAAAAACTAGCCGGGCGAGGTGGTGGGCGCCTGTAGTCCCAGCTACTCGGGAGGCTGAGGCAGGAGAATGGCATGAACCCAGGAGGTGGAGCTTGCAGTGAGCTGAGATCCGGCCACTGCACTCCAGCCTGGGTGACGAGCGAGACACCCTCTCAAAAAAATAAAATAAAATAAAAATAAAAATGGAGTCCCTAATGTTAAAAAAGAAAATCCTAACAAATGGAGCCAGGAAAGGCCAGGAATACAGCGTTCTCATACTGGTATGCCTGACAGCAAAGAAGACTCTACAAAACTCTACAACCTTGCAGAGAGGCATCACAAACTTTTAGCCCATTTAAGTGGTCTTATTTAAACTAATTTCAAGCCTGTTTAAACTACTATGCAGAATCCTGGGTATGAGGATTTAAAGGTTACTGGACCAAGTGATTGTTAGTATCACTATTAGTCTGTTCTCACGCTGCTATAAAGAAATATCTGAAACTGGGTAATTTATAAAGAAAAGAGGTTTGATTGACTTACAGTTCTGCAGGCTCTACAGGAAGCATGGGCGTATGTGCTTCTGGGGAGGCTGCAGGGAGCTTTCATTCATGGCAGGAGGCAAAGCAGATACAAGTGTCTCACATAGCTGGAGCAGGATCCAGAGAGAGGGGAAAGTGGCATACACTTTTAAACAACCATATCTCAGGAGAGCTCACTATCACAATGACAGCACCCAAGGGGGATTGTGAGCAACTGCCCCCATGATCCAATCACCCCCAACCAGGCCCCTGCTTCAATACTGAAGATTTCAATTCAGTGTGAGATTTGGGTAGGAACACAGATTGCAACCATACCACAAACTTATAAAAAATATTTCCACAAGACATCTGCCCAGCAACTGCCTATTCAACCTCAGACTGGCATTATGTTTGTTACTTTTCTTTTTGACTTACCCACACATCTGTTTTATTGATCTCTGTAGCCAGGGATAGTTATTTCAAAACAACTATGGAATCCTCCCCATTTAGTACTTTAAAATTCCTTTGTCTTCCTTTACTGCTCTGAACGTGCACCTAGTTTACTACAGCTTGTGCATACTTTGTAATGTTCCTTTTCCAAATAAACACCTAAGAGTCTCTCTATTTGTTTTTAAGGTTTACAATACAATACGTTGCATTTTAGAACATTGGTAAATAGTACGCAGAAATTTTGCAAAAAGGAAAAGTTGAATTTGAACTCCTGGCCTCAAGTGATCCATCTGCCTTGGCTTCCAAAAGTTCTGGGATTACAGCATGTGCCACCGTGCCAGAGGTGCCCATCTAAATCACTGCTATTTAACAGTGTACTGGAAATTTAAGGCAGGTCAATTAGGCAAGGGAAAAAAAAAACCACACATCCAAATTGTAAAAGATTAATGAAATTATCTTAATTTGCTGATGACATGAACCTTTATGTTGAAAACAAAGATTATACAAATACACAAACTATTACATTCAATACATACAAAAAAGTCATATTTTCATATATTGTCACTGAATAATATGAAAAGGAAATTGAGAAAATAATCCCATTTAAAATAGAATCCAAAAGAATAAAATACTTCAGAATACCTTTTTTTTTTTTTTAAACGGAGTTTTGCTCTTGTTGCCCAAGCTGGAGTGCATGGTGCAATCTTGGCTCACTGCAACCTCCGCCTCCTAGATTCAAGAGATTCTCCTGCCTCAGGAGAATCTGGGAGTAGCTGGGATTATAGGCTTGCGCCACCATGCCCAGCTAATTTTGTTTTTTTAGTAGAGACTGAGTTTCTCCATATTGGTCATGCCAGTCTCAAGCTCCCGACCTCAGGTCATCTGCCTGCCTCGGCCTCCCAAAGTGCTGGGATTACAGGTGTGAGCCACCACACCCTGCAAAATAAAAACTAAGTAAACTGGACAAAATTAGAAACCTCTGAGTACCTAAAAACACTACCAACAGAGTGAAAAGGCAACACACAAATAGGGAAAATATCTGTCAATCATACGTCTGATAAACTAATATCCAGAATATATAAATAACTCCTACAACTCAACAAGAAAAACCAGTTAAAAATAGGTTAAGGATTTGAGTGGACATTTCTCACCAAAGAAGATATACAAATCATCAATAAAAACATGAAAAGATTCTCAACATCATTGTCCATTAGGAAAATGCAAATTAAAACTACAAGCAGATACCATTTCATACAAATTAATACTTACTTTCAAGAGAAAGTAAGTGTTGGGAAAAATGTGGAGAAAACGGACATTATGAATTGCTAGTGAAAATACAAAATAGTGCAACTGATGTGGAAAATGATTCTGTAATTCCAACATTACATATATACCCCAAATAATTGAAAGCCTGGCTCACAGATATTTGGACATAAATATTTATGGCAATAGTATGCACAACTGCAAAAGGTGGAAACAATTCACATTTCAATTAAGAGATGAATAGAGAAACAAAATATGAAATATACTTATAATGGAATATTATTCAGCCTTAAAATAGAATAAAATTCTGACATGGTACAACTGCACTTACAGGAAAAACACTGTGTTAAGTAAAATAAGCCAGACATAAAAGAACAAATACAGTATGATTCCATCTATATGAAGTCCTTGGAATAGTCAAATTCAGGGTGACAGTAAGTAGGTGATGGTTGCCAGGACTGTGGGGAGGGGAGAATAGGGAGAAGTTGTTTTAATAGGTATAGAGTTTCTGTTTTACAAGATAAAGTTCTAGAGACAGGTTACATCAACAATGTGAAGGCATTTAAGTACTGAATTGTACACTTAAAAATGATTATGGTGGAAAATTTTGTTATGAGCACTTTATCACAATAATAATTTTAAAAGGCCCAATTTTCTTTCTAAGTAGACTAACGATGAGAAATACCATCCAATGGAATTATTTAGAAGAACTCTGCTGCTGTAAGAGTTTCTTGTTACTTTGTTTCTGTTTCCTAGTACTGGCTGTTAGCTTTGAGACTGACTTTTGCACTCCCTCTAATAGTCAGAATTAGTCATAATGACTGTCTAGTATCAGCTAGATACTCACCTTTCGCCTCTCTTAGGGTTTCCAAGATGAATGTGTCCATAGATTTAGATTCACCCACTCTGCTTCCATCTTGGTTCTGCTGGACTTCTCTATTGTGAAGGTAAATAGCTTGTTGTTTCTTGCTGATGAACCAGGAAATGTAAGAAAAACAAGTAAAGAGAAAAACAAGTCCTTCTTCTCTGACCGGGCTGACTCACTCAAAAGTCCAGCTGGAGCTATGATAACATTACCTGCAAGGCCAGGCAGCGGCCCTGAAGAAATGGGTTCCAAAAGCAGGGACAAGAAAAACAAGTTCTTATCAGTCTCCTCCTGAAATTCTGTGCCCATGCCATCATTCTTTGTGCTGCTCCTGTAACAATTTTTGTAACTATTTCTGCAAGTTTGCAAGGATTTTGTAAGGTCCTGTTTTTCCCATCTGTGCAGGATGCTAGAGGTCACAAGACATGCCTGAGTTCCAACACCTGTCACAGTTTGATTAACTGCATTTGTTCTGCTTCTGTAAGCTTGCTTTCCCTGCCTCACAAGTTTGGCGCCACTGGCTAGCCAACCCCCTTTGGTTGCATGAATAAAATTCAAGCCCTGTCTTTGTTCACTGCTCAGCCTCTGGATATTAATCTGCTGAGCTAGTGGCCACCTAAATAAAATCCTCCTGTTCCCCTCATTGGTCTCTCTGGTCTCCAGATTCCAGCCACAGTTTGGTGAGCCAGCCAGGATTGAAGATGGCAGGTTTGCTGTATCCTTTGCCTGTGGGTCTAGGGCCCCAGCAAAGGAGACAGGGGTAGGGGAGACCCATGACTCCAGGCATGCTATCCGGCGAACTTCAACCCAGAAGGGAGATCAGCTCTCCCACAACCTGCTGCTGCTCTCTGACAGCACAACGGAATTTAAGGACAATTCCAGTGACAACGTGCTACAGGACCATGATAAGGTTTGGGCCTGAGGCAAGACCTGTCCCATAAGGACAGAAGACGAGCCTCATCACTTCCTGGGGTGTACCTATTAATCTGACCTAGGACACAAGAGAGGTTCACAAAGTCGGGAGAAACCTACACCCCAAATGACCCAGGATGCAAGAGTGGCTCACTAAATTGGTTAAAAAAGGAAACCAGGAGTGGGGAGGTATGTGAATGCATGTGAACAGACGGTTCCAAAAGGAATCAATGTGTGGAGTGATGTGTATGGAGCCACAGGTCTCTCATCATAGACTGTATGCTAGGGAGGTGCCCCACAGTTTAGTGATTGTGGTGGTCTGGGCTTGGGACTGAAACCTTCCATTAAAGCTAAGCAGTGTCTGAAATACTCCTGCGAGGGAGACGGTCTCATCCGTCCGAAGTGAAAGTAAAAGAGTGAGTGAATTGTGCCATAACTGGGAGGAAATGGGAGGGAAGTTGTTGAAACCTACCCCATTAGAATGCATGTTAAAGAACTTTAAGAAACGTTATATGGGGGATTATGGGATCAAGTTGACCCCCAGAGATTGAAGAACTGTCTGTGAAATAGAGTGGTCTTCTTTCAATGTTGGATGGCCAGCTGAAGGAACCATAGATAGGGAAAAAATTGGCTGTGTATTGGCCGGGCGCGGTGGCTCAAGCCTGTAATCCCAGCACTTTGGGAGGCCGAGGCGGGCGGATCACAAGGTCAGGAGATCGAGACCACAGTGAAACCCCGTCTCTACTAAAAATACAAAAAATTAGCCGGGCGCGGTGGCGGGCGCCTGTAGTCCCAGCTACTCAGGAGGCTGAGGCAGGAGAATGGCGGGAACCCAGGAGGTGGAGCTTGCAGTGAGCCGAGATCGCGCCACTGCACTCCAGCCTGGGTGACAGCGTGAGACTCCGTCTCAAAAAAAAAAAAAATTGGCTGTGTATTAAGGTGGTGACTGAAGTCAGAGGACAGCCTGGACAATCAGGTCAATTTCCTTATGTTGACTCATGGCTGAATATAATTCAAACCCAACCTGCGTGGCTGCAGCCCTGCCTGGCAGCTTATTGCAGAACACAGGTAGCTCGAGCTGAGCCAAAAGTGAAAGAGAATTCAGCTTCACTGTCAGCTACAGAGAGAAAGGAAAAAACACAAGAAAAACCAGTTTTGCAGGAACCACCAGAGGAAATAGAAACCCCTCTTCCCTATGCACCAATCTACCCACCTTTACTAAGGCTGGCCCCATAGCAGCCAGACTTAGATGGTGACATGCCCCAGGCTAACCCCAAAGGGAGAAATCTGAGCCCTCAACCCAGGAGGTCAAGGAGGAAAGTCAGGATGATCAAGCAAGCTGCCTCCAATCTGGCTGCAACAGAGCTTTGCAGATGCCTCTTTGAGAAACCAGGGGACCCATCTATTATGATGAACAGGGCCAGGTCCAAGAGGGGGCAACCAACTTTCATTTACTAGCCTTTTTCAACTACTGATCTCCTAAACTGGAAACACCATACTCCCTCCTACATGGAGAATCCCCAGGCCCTCACAGATCTGATACAGTCTATTTTTCAGACACACAATCCAACTTGGCCAGATTGCAAACAGCTTGTCCTGACGCTGTTCAACACCAAGGAATGCTGAAGGGTGACCCAGGTAACCCTCCACTGACTAGAAAACAATGCACTTGAAGGCGTCCTTAATGTCCTAGAATATGCACAGGGCCAGTTCCCAGAAGCAGACCCGCACTGGGACCCAAATGACGCAGCCCAACTACAGCAACTGCAGAGGTACCAAGAGGCACTCCTGCAAGATTTGAGAGAAGGAGGGAAAAAGACATTCAATATGGGAAAGATTTCAGAGGTGCTTCAGAGTGCAAATGAAAGCTGTAGCCAGTTTTATGAGAGACTCTGTAAGGCCTTCTGGCTTTACACTCCGTTTGATCCTAAGGCTGCTGAGAACCAATCCATGGTAAATGCGGTGTTTGTAGGGCAAGCCCAGGGAGACATCAGGTGAAAACTGCAAAAAGCTAGAGGGTTTCACTGGCATGAATATCACTCAGCTTTTAGAAGTGGCCACCAAGGTGTACACTAACTGTGGTGAGGAGACAAAAAGAGCAGCTGATCAGAGACTCAGGAAAAAGGCCAATTTGCTGGTGGCAGCACTTATGGAAAGGGGGCGAATGTCACAAGAGGATGTGGATGTAGGTGTGGACAAGGAAAAGGTTAAATCAAGCCAAGACCTGAGAATCAGGAAGGACTGAATAGGGACCAGTGTGCAGGGTGCAAGAAGAAAGGACACTGGAAGAATGAATGTCCAGAGGGCGATGAGGGAGAGGACGAAAGTCAAGGAGCTAGAAGGCTGCCAGCAAAGGGCTATCACACTGAGAAGGAGCCAGATGCCGACCTTACCAGACTGGCAGGGACTGAAGGGTATGAAGACTAGGCCAAACAAGGCTACATCTCCTTAGGCCCCCAGGACCCCATGGTCATGGTGGAAGTAAGGGGCTTTATGGTAGACACTGAGGCTGAACACTCGGCAATGATATGACCCATAACTTTAAGTCTGCCACCATCCTGAAGAAATGGTGTTAAATCTTGATGTCCTGCAGGCAGAAGAATGGAGGCTGTATGCAGAAGGGTTGTCAAAACTGGGGCTAGATGAGCTGTATGGGTTGCCTAGTAAAATTCCTAGAGTGTGGGCTGAAGGTAACGCCCCTAGCCTGGCTGTGAGCCAGATACCAAAGATAGTAGAACTAAAACCAGGGGAAATACTAGTTCAGTTTAGTTATTACCCACTTCCCTGATAAGCCATACATGGCATCCAAGGGCATTTGAAGTGGCATTTAGAACACAGGATCTTAGCCTGATGCTGGCCACTGCAGAATACTCTTGCTTTTACCAGTGCAGAAACTGGGGACTAATGAATATAAACTGGTGCAGGACCTTCTTGTTGCAAACCAGGCCCTTGAGGATTCAGGAAATGGAAGTTACACATAGCCTACCAGCTGCAAAACTCAGGAAAAGTGGAGCACATGAACTGAACACTCAAGCAGCTATTAAAGAAATATTGCCAAGAAGCTCATCTCTGATGGGATCAGGTCCTGCCCATGGTCCTCCTCTGAATCAGGTGCACTTGCACCAAACAAATTGGGTATTTGTCCTATGAGATCTTGTTCGGCCAGCCCCTTACAATCATAGGTCAAATTAAGGGTGATCTCTGTGAGCTAAGGGAATTGTCCTTAAGAAGACAAATGCAGGCCTAAGGGAAAGCCATGTAAGAGGTCCATGGCTGGCTACAGGAAAGAACGGCCATAGGACTAACAAGATCAGGGACAAGAAAAACAAGTTACTTTCAGTCTCTGCCTGAAATTCTTTCCCGATGCCATCATTCTTTGTTCTGCTTGTATAACTATTTTTGTAACTCTTTCTGCAAGTTTGCAAGGATTTTGCAAGTTCCTGTTTTTCCCTCCTGTGCAGCATAGCAAAGGTCACAAGACATGCCTGAGTTACAAGATCTGTAACCGTTTGATTAACTGTGTTTGTTCTGCTTCTGTAAGTTTGCTTTCCCCTCCTGGCAAGTTTTGTACCATTGGCGAGCCAACCTGCTTTGGTTGCATGAATAAAAGTCAAGCCCTGTCTTTGCTCATTGTTCAACTTCTGGATATTAATCTGCTGAGCTGGTGGCCACCTAAGTAAAATCCTCCTGTTCCCCTCATTGGTCTCTCCAGTGTCCTGATTCCTGCAACACTGACAATCAAGGTAACATAATGCTGTTGACTGAAGGTATGTCCTCATTATGAACCTTTATTGTCAGGGTATCCAACTATAAACCTTTATTTTTAGGGTATTCAACTGTTAAAACACTTAAAAAATCCCAGGCAAACCAGGAAGAGCTGGCTTTACCAGCTAGCTTGCACCATCTTATCCAAGTATCTATTGCAATATGCTAGAAATTAACAAAATTTTTCTTGAAGAATTTCTACATCTACTTGGTCTGATATAAGATATCCCATTGATCCCTATTTCCCTTGGAATCATGGCTCTTTTCTAATTTGCCACTCATTGGGGTGGGCAAGTAGTGGCCATTGGTCACTTAGTTTGGCTGCTCAGAATCTAATATTACTTATATTTCAGGAATTCCTCAAGTTATATGGCAGAGTGTGTCACCTTTCATTGTAGAACCTCAACATACTAGCTTCCCTTGCAATCAGAGTGGTGGTACCTACCCAGGCTCTGCCAATCAGTGCTTGTACTGGAGGCTGAATTGAAAATAAGGAATACAGAGTCTGGAATTTTGACAAAGTTGTGCTGGTGAGGATGCAGACAGCCAGCAGGCCTATCAGAGTTAGAG